GTTTTAAAGATCCTTAACCTGGTGTGTTGGGTTTACCGCAATATATAAAAAGTGACAATTATTTTTAGCTGCGTCCAACCATATTTAAACATGACAGTCAAATGGTTAGCATATTAGGCCTCACTCACACAGTCTTTTAAAATACATTTATAGCATTTTTTTTTGCACAGATTTGGTTGCAGGTGCATTATTCAATTGAAACATTTACACAGGTGAATAAACATGCACTGCATTCAGATCTGCAAAACAGAATCCAAAAATCTATGTCCGAGGACATGCATATACAAGTCCAGATGTAGGCATTGGGAAAAAAAGGACAATTTTAAGCAAGTATTTACTAATCATTATGCAGGAACTTTTGTGCTAAAAAAAAAAAAGCGCAATAAGATCAGTACAATTTCTTTATGTTCTTGTAACTGAAGCCTATGGATTCTTATCTTTTTATGTTAAAAATATTGTAAGGAAAAGTTCTAAATTTTAACTTGCAACTTATGAATTATACAATTACTTTTAGTGAAATAAAACTAACACACCAGGATACAGATCTTTGAGAAGGGGACAATTATTTTATATGAGTTCACGTATATTTTAAAATGACAGTCACATGACCAGAATAAAGATTCTTGTGCTTTTTATTCTTAGATTGTAAGCTCTAACGAGCAGGCCCCTCTCAATCCTCCTGTATTCATTTGTATTGTAATTGTACTGTCTGCCCTTTTGTTGTAAACTGCTGCATAAACTATATAAATCCTGTATAATAATAATAATTTTTAAAAATGTGTTGTAAAGAAAAAATTATAATTTTTATCTTAGCTGTTGGAACCAAAGATGTGTAACTGATAGTAAAGTACAGCAAAGCTAACAACCCAGGATAAAGGTCCTTATTAAAAAACAAAACAAAACAAAAAACAATTATGCATCTTTGGATAGAACAGCTAAGGACAAATATGTAACTTCTTTTTACATTTTTTTTAAAATAACAAAGGATTAGGATCTTTATTCTAGCCATTTAACTGTCCATTTTGAATATAGTTGGACACGTAAAAATAACTAGCAATTTTTTAATATAGGGAGGTAAACCTAACACACTAGGATATGTCTTTATTTAGCCATGTGACTATCATGTTGTAATATTATTGAACAGCTAAAAATACCTAACTGTCACTTTTTAAAATATACTGCAATAAACCTAACACACCAAACTAAGGATCTTTATTCTAACCTTGTGACTGTCATGTGTAAATGTGGTTAGACTGAGCTAAAAATTATTATCACTCTATTTCTCATATATTGCAGTAAAGCTAACACCCCAAGATAGGTATCCTTATTTAAAACAAACAAACAATTACGCATATTTGGTTAAAACAGCTAAGGTAAAAATCAGAACTTTTCTTTACAATATTTTTTTATACATAACAAAGCATTGGAATCTTTATTCTGGCCATGTAACTGTCCACTTTGAATATGGTTGAACAAAGCTTAATATTACTCTCACTTTTTTTTAAATATATGGAGGGAATCTTACACACCAGGATAATGGTCTTTATTCTAGCCATGTGACTGTCCACTTTGAATATGGTTGGACAAAGCTAAATATAACTGTCACTTTTTAAAAAATAATATGGTGGTAAACTGATGTGAATGTACAATATATATGTTTAAGCACTGCTTAAATTGATGGCGCTATATAAATACCTGTAGTAATAATAATAATAATAAATCTAACACACCAAAATAATGGTCTTTATTCTAGCCATGTGACTGTGCACTTTGAATATGGCCAGACAAAGCTAAATATAACTGTCGATTTTTTTAAATATATGGAGGTAAATCTAACACACCAGGTTAATGATCTTTATTCTAGCCATGTGACTGTCCACTTTGACAATGGCTGGACCAGGGGCGGACTGACAACTCATTGGGCCCCTGGGCAATAGGGGATCATGGGGCCCCTGTGTCCTTGCCCAAACTCAAAAAAGCCTATGAAAAAGGTACCAGGGCATCTCATGGGGGCCCCCTACTGACTCCAGGCCCTCGTGCCCAAGTTTCCAAATGGTCAGTCTGCCCCTGGGCTGGACAATGCTAAATATAACTGTCACTTTTTTTTTTAAATATATGGAGGTAAATCTAACACACCAGAATAATGGTCTTTATCCTAACCATATGACTGTCATGTATAAATAATTTGGGACTTAGCTAAAAATAACTATCACTTTTTTAATATATTACAATCAACCTAACACACGGGGATATTGATCTTTGTTCTAACCATGTAACTGTCATCTATGTGGTTGGACAAAGCTAAAAATAACTGTCACTTTTTTTTTTTTTATATATATGGAGATAAACCTAACACACCGGATCTTTCTTCTAGCCATGTGACTGTCATGTTTAAATGTGATTAGACTCGGTTAAACCAACTGTCACTTTATTTCCTATATAGTGCAGTAAAGCTAACACCCCGGGATAATGATCGTTTAATACAGTGAATTATTTGTAGCCAATTACGAAGATATTTGCACATTACAGTCACGTGGGCAGAGCACAGATCCTTATCCTCTTCCTAAAGCTTTGTCAATTAGGACTAAAGTGTGGAAAAAGATTTGTTTCTCGGGGTTGGTAAGGCGATCGTCAGTTAAAGGAGAGCTCACAGCAGATCCTCGCAGCCAGCACACGTAGACAAGCTGCTCAGCAAGACCGACTCGCTCCCGTGTGCCAAAGCTTTTACTGCGGGAGGGTGCGAGAGGGCGTGTCGGTGACGTCACCCGCAGACCAGACCGAAAGTGTCTCTGGCGCCAGGTCTGTGAGGTGGGCGTGGCCCAGTCTGGAAGCCAGAGTCTTTCCTGATTGATTCATGGCCGGCCCCGCCCACTTCCGAGACCACAATTTATGGCAGAGGGAAATCAATCAAACCTCTCATAAAACTTCTTGCAGAAAAAAAAAAAAGATCTTCACAAGACAAAGTGGATCTCCTTTATACACACAGGAATGAAGAGTGGCAATAAAGAAAGGTGATCAGATTTACATCAAAACAATATTTTATTTTTTTTTAAATAGCCTCTTCATAAAAGAAAAGAAAAAAAATGACATGGATAAATTGTATCCAAAATAAATAACCTTTGTGGGTGAATTCAGTAGCATGGGATTGGATGAGGAGTAACAACAAAAACAGGCATTGTACACAGGACACGGGAATGTCAGGCGGACCAGGTAGTAAAGACAAAGAAAACTGTACATCAGGTTACAGCCACTTCATGCAGATCAGCCCTGCACGGTGGGGGTTGGGGGGTTTTATTAAAAAAGATAATTTAAAACACGGCTTCCTTTATATCTACATATAAAAAAATCATCTTTTACCATTAAAAATGAGGTCATCCAAAAAGGCACCTAATCCAAAAAAATGAGAGTCATCTGCTGGGGTGATTCCATCAACTGTCACTGCAACGTCGCCGGACCCCGACTGTTACATTGTAACGGCGCGACAACAGCACGCGGCTCCTCCGCTCACAGCAACCGGAACTGCTGGCTACACTGGGACTGGGACTACTGGCTCTACGCTGGGACTGGGACTGCCGGCTCTACGCTGGGACCGGACTGCTGGCTACACTGGGACTGGGACTCCTGGCTCTACGCTGGGACCGGGACTGCTGGCTCTACGCTGGGACCGGGACTGCTGGCTCTACGCTGGGACCGGGACTGCTGGCTACTGGGACTGGGACTGCTGGCTCTACACTGGGAATGGGGCTGCTGGCTACACTGGGACTGGGACTGCTGAGATTTGTAACCCATTATAATCGGTATATGGGATCAAATTGCTTGGACCTGTTTGTAGTTTCAGCACAGCTTATAATCAGAGAATGGGAATAGATTGCTGGGACCTGTAGTTCCAGCAGTTTATAATTAGGGAATGGGAACAGTTTGCTGGGAATGCTGGGATCTGTAGTTCCAGCACAGCGCATTATAATCAGGAAATGGGAACAGTTTGCTGGGAATACTGGGACCTGTAGTTCCAGCACAGTGCTTTATAATTGGAGAATAGGAACAGATTGTTGGGAATGCTGGGACCTGTAGTTCCAGCACAGTGCTTTATAATTGGGGAATGGGAACAGATTGCTGGGACTTGTAGTTCCAGCACAGTGCTTTATATTCGGAGAATGGGAACAGATTGCTGGGAACGCTGGGACCTGTAGTTCCAGCACAGTGCTTTTAATTGGGGAATGGGAAGAGATTGCTGGAAATGCTGGAACCTGTTGTTCCAGCACATCTTATAATCGGGGAATGGGAACAGATTGTTGGGAAGGCTGGGACATGTAGTTCCAGCACTGCGCATTGTATTTGGGGAACTGGAACTAATGCTCTTCAATAGAATCTTTTTTTTTTAATCACATTACATTTCTTTTTATACAACATCCATTTTGATGTCGTTGCTGCCTACAGCCTACTATTAAATGTTTTGGATCTCCCTAGCCTGTGGAGACATATTTTAGGAGGCTCAGATATAACAAATAGAATAATTAGTGAATTATAATGCCAGTCGGATTCATATGAGGATATGGTATGAATGAGAGACTTGGATCGTATTCATTGCTTACGATTGCTCGGCTACACGTGATATTTTTTAATCTGTTAGCAGCATCGAATTAACCCTTTGTTGACAGCTGCCTCCTTGGCAATTGGCAGAGAAGGCGCTGATCGGATGCTGCTAAAGCTGCCACCGATTCTCACCCGTATTCGATTATTTGGGCCCCGGTGCTGAGAGCTGCATGTGACTCACAAGCCACACTGGTTGGGTTGGCGAGGGGGGGGGGGGGGGTCGGTGCTGCAAGACACAACAAGAGGGTCGTCATTCCACGGTGGGTTCATCAGATCACCAGCATTTTATGTGAATTGAACCTGAGGCCACCTCGGATCGGTGACACAAAAGTAGAGTTCTCCCGGGAAAAAAGGGGGTTATTCGCAGCTCTGTCAGTCCGTCGTAACCCCCTCCCCCGCGGTGCGCTCTAGAAGATAGTCCCTGCTGTCACCGCCGGACTGCTGTGGTGATGGAGGTGATGCTGAGGCTGCTGAAGGATCGGGCTGGACTGGAGGTGTGTGACGGGGTTGGACGATTGGTACCAGGTGTAGTTGCCTAGAAAGGCACTGGGGCTGGAGCCGGAGCTGGGGGGCTGGATGGTCGGGCCACCGCTGGGCCCCTGTAACCTCTGATGAGTTCCGAAGTCCCATGTCACTGCAGAGGAGGGCGGGGAGTGACAACCGGGAGATTCGCTGCCAGTCGGGAGCTGATCGCTGGGCAACTCTCCGCTCTTCCACATCTTCTTAAACTTGGAGCGCCGGTTCTGGAACCAGATCTTCACCTGATGGGAAGGGGGGGCACAGAGGACAAAGCAGGGGGGTTACAATGGACGTTTAATATGGCCCGTAAAAATACACGTGTCTCACATATATCCAATAATTGAATATATGTCCTATAATGGATGTTTAATACGTTCCACAAAAGATATCCCATAATATGTCCTAAAATTGAGGTTTAATAGGCCCTATAATAACACATGTCCAACAAATATATCCAATAATTTATAGCATATGACTTCTAATGGATGTTTAATATGTCCGACGATAGATATCCTATAATATGTCCTAAAATGGGTATTTAGTATATTTTTTAATAACATACCGTACGTCCTATAATGGATGTTTAATATATCCTATAATGAATATCCCATAATATTTGTCAATGTATGGTCCATAATATATGACGTATAGTATATGTCCCACAATGCATGGAACCATAACATAGGTCCCACAATATATGGCCTCTAGCATATGTCCTATAATATATGGCGCATAATATTGACCCATAATGTATGTCCTAAAATATTATACATCACAATGTATGTACAATAATATATGTTCTATTATGTATGGCCCGTGGTATTTGTCCTACAATATATATGTAATAATATATGTCCTATAATGTATGGCCCGTGGTATTTGTCCTACAATAAATGTCTAATAATATATGTCCTGCAATATATGGCCCATAATATACGTCCCATAAATCACAGCCCATAATATATGTCCCACAATCTATATCTAGTAATAAGTTTTATAACGTGGATCCGTAATACGTCTTACAATATATGTACCGATAATATACGTCCTGTCCATCATGTACCTTCCATCATATAACGACATGTCATAAATCACTGGGATGAAGAATGTGCATTTACACCATCACCAGGAGAATTCAGACAGACAATCAATCTAGATGCATCAATCCCTTATCCTAAAATATTTACATAGCAACCTCATATTATACGTTCTATAGAAATCTAGCCAGCTCCTATAGCTACAGGAATTAGAAATAACAAAAGGTTCAATTGTTCTCCTGCAATATACGATTTACTTTAGAACCCAAATACTAAAAGTATTTTTTTAACGATTATACATAATATAAATATGTAAAAATAAAATACACACACTATATAAATAAAATATCCAAACACACAACCATAGAAGAGTAAATGATATTCTTATTGATGGCAGTGCAGTCATTGGTCTTCCAATCCGGACATATAATACCAGAAATGACATTCTAGCTGTAGTAGAATTGTGCAGCATGTGGTCGGTACTGACCTGTGTTTGGGTCAGGCCCAGCGATGCTGCCAGCTCAGCTCTCTCGGGCAGGGCCAGGTACTGGGTTTTCTGGAACCTCCTCTGCAGGGCGGCCAGCTGGAAGCTGGAGTAGATGGTTCTGGGTTTGCGGACTTTCTTGGGCTTCCCGTTGACTATCCTGACCTCGGGTTCGCACTCCTCCTTCTCTGTAACACAATGGGATGAATGGGGTCAGAGGGGCACACCGGCATAGAGAGGGGCACACCGGGCACAGAGAGGGGCACACCGGCATAGAGAGGGGCACACCGGGCACAGAGAGGGGCACACCGGCATAGAGAGGGGCACACCGGGCACAGAGAGGGGCACACCGGCATAGAGAGGGGCACACGGGCACAGAGAGGGGCACACCGAGAACAGAGAGGGGCAAACCGGGCACAGAGAGCACCATCAGGCAATGAGGATGAATTCACATAGCTAACACAGATGGAGACTTCCTTTAGGAAAGTTCCAATCTTAGTTGAGGATGATGCGATTTCTATCTGTCATTTGGCTAGAAATGTCTCCAACTTTGTTCAAGCTTCATGAATTGACCCCAGCGTGAGTTTTGCCAGTTATGTGTTTGCCGTGTCCAGTGACAGAAAGGGAGGGGGTTACTGTGATTCTGGGCTCTCTGGATGGAGGGGGGTGTCCAGATTCTGGGCTCTCTGTATAGGGGGGGGGGGGGGGGGGGGGTCCAGATTCTGGGCTCTCTGGATGGAAGGGGTACAGATTCTGGGCTCTCTGGATGGATGGGGATGTCTAGATTCTGGGCTCTCTGGCTGAGAGGTAATGGCCATATTCTGGGCTCTGTGGATGGGGGGGGGGTCTAGAGTTTAGGCTCTCTGGTTGGGGGTTAAGGTCCAGATTCTGGGCTCTCTGAATGGAGGGGGGTGTCTAGATTCTGGGCTCTCTAGTTGGGAGGTAAGGTCCAGATTCTGGGCTCTCTGGATGGAGGGAGATGTCTAGATTCTGGGCTCTCTGGATGGAGGGAGATGTCTAGATTCTGGGCTCTCTGGATGGAGGGGGATGTCTAGGTTCTGGGCTCCCTGCATGGAGGGGGATGTCAAGATACTGGGCTCTCTGCATGGAGGGGGGATGTCTAGATTCTGGGCTTCTGGATGGAGGGGGATGTCTAGATTCTGGGCTTCTGGATGGAGGGGGATGTCTAGATTCTGGGCTGTCTGGATGGAGGGGGATGTCTAGATACTGGGCTCTCTGGATGGAGGGGGATGTCTAGATACTGGGCTCTCTGGATGGAGGGGGATGTCTAGATTCTGGGCTCTCTGGATGGAGGGGGATGTCTAAATTCTGGGCTCTCTGGATGGAAGGGGATGTCTAGATTCTGGGCTCTCTGGCTGGGGGGGGGGGGGGGGGGGGGGGGGGGTAAGGTGGCCAAATTCTGGGCTCTTCTGGGCTGGGCTTCTGGCTGGGGGGGTAAGGTCCAAATTCTGGGCTCTCTGGCTGGAAAGGATGTATAGATTCTGGGCTCTCTGGCTGGGGGGTAAGGTCCATATTCTGGTCTTTCTGGATGGAAGGGGATGCCTAGATTCTGGTCTCTCTGGATGGGGGGGTAGAAGGTCTAGATTCTGGGCTCTCTGGCTGGGGGGTAAGGTCTAGATTCTGGGCTCTCTGGCTGGGGGGTAAGGTCCAAATTCTGGGCTCTCTGGCTGGAAAGGGATATATAGATTCTGGTCTCTCTGGCTGGGGGGTACGGTCCAGATTCTGGTCTCTCTGGGTGGAAGGGGATGTCTAGATTCTGGGCTCTCTGGCTGGGGGGTAAGGTCCAGATTCTGGGCTCTCTGGATGGAAGGGGATGTATAGATTCTGGGCTCTCTGGCTGGGGGGTAAGGTCTAGATTCTGGGCTCTCTGGCTGGGGGGTAAGGTCCAGATTCTGGGCTCTCTGGCTGGGGGGTAAGGTCCAGATTCTGGGCTCTCTGGCTGGGGGGTAAGGTCTAGATTCTGGGCTCTCTGGCTGGGGGGTAAGGTCCAGCTTCTGGGCTCTCTCTGGATTGGGGGGGGGGGGGGTCTCACCTTGTTCGTTGTGTGTAGGGGAAGGGCTTGCTCCGTAGGGTCCATAGGAGCTGTAGGAGCCGTTGTAGGCCAGGTCGTAGGATTTGGCGGAGTAGGAGATCCCGTTGATGGCGGTAGTGTGGAAGGGGTAGGATCCGAGCTGTCCATAGGGGGAGCCCCCTCCGCAGTGCTGCTGCTGCTGGTTGGTGTAGTAGCTGCTGTCGGTGGCGGTGGAGACGGGCAGGGTCGGGGACTCCTGGGACTTGTGCAGACTGTGATAACTGTTGGAGGTCATCTGGGTGCTGTGCATGTCTGACACCAGGCTGTCAAACACTCCGGTCATGGTGCGGAGAGCTCGGGGGACTCTGGGGGGCGGGGAGGGGGCTGGGCGGTTAGCTCAGAGTTGGGGATGTCGCCTCTGTAGCAGTAGCGGAGTGGAGCGCTCAGTGATCAGCCTGGCAAGGAGCAGGATGCAGCATGTTCCCCTGTGGAGGAGGAGAAACTCGGGGACCAGTTCTGGAGGGACAGGCGGCCGCTGATCACTGCAGATTGTCTGCTGCTCTATGCTTCAGCGCCAGGCATTTAACTCCAGTCATGTGACTGCCTAGCTACGTCACCTAGCAACGGCCAATCGGCGCCGAAGTGTGGCCGGGGTCTCGGGGTTCTGCCCCAGGACAGGAGCTGCCCCGCCCACTTGTTGCTCTTCTTGCTCCGGAGCCTCCTACACAGCGGGGGTGGGGGAGGGGGGAGGAAACTCACTGCCAGTCCTCCAAGTCCCACAACACAGAGCTGCCCGAGTCTTCTATGACAGAGAGGGAGAGAACTACTGAAAGACACTGTCCATGGAGCCTAACCACAGATCTACCCCGCTCTGCCATTCCCAGGCACTGTCCATGGAGCCTAGGCACAGATCTACCCTACTCTGCCATTCCCAGACACTGTCCAATGAGCCTAGGCACAGGTCTACCCCGGTCTGCCATTCCCAGGCACTGTCCATGGAGCCTAACCACAGATCTACCCCGCTCTGCCATTCCCAGACACTGTCCAATGAGCCTAATCACAGATCTACCCCGCTCTGCCATTCCCAGGCACTGTCCATGGAGCCTAGGCACAGATCTACCCCGCTCTGCCATTTTCAGACACTGTCCAATGAGCCTAGGCACAGGTCTACCCCGGTCTGCCATTCCCAGGCACTGTCCATAGAGCCTAGGCACAGATCTACCCCGCTCTGCCATTCCCAGACACTGTCCAATGAGCCTAAGCACAGGTCTACCCCGTTCTGCCATTCCCAGACACTGTCCAATGAGCCTAGGCACAGGTCTACCCCGCTCTGCCATTCCCAGGCACTGTCCATGGAGCCTAAGCACAGGTCTACCCTGCTCTGCCATTCCCAGGCACTGTCCATGGAGCCTAGGCACAGATCTACCCCGCTCTGCCATTCCCAGACACTGTCCAATGAGCCTAGGCACAGGTCTACCCCACTCTGCCACTCCCAGAGACCGTCCATGGAGCCTAGCCACAGGGCTACCACACTCTGCCATTTCCTGGTGTTAGGTCATAGGACAGTTGCTGATATTTACTTCTCAACAGTTGTATGCAACCCATAACTCTTGTTTGCCACTTTTGGTCTGTTTAACCCTTTCACTGCCACCGACATATATCATATGGAGGTGGTAGCAGCGAGCTTTACCACTCCCCCTCTGGCACGCGCCCATCAGTGGACCCAGAACCAGTATGGATGTTACCAGGTAAAGGGAAGGGAGACCAGTGACATGTGAAATGTCACTTTCCCAGTATGGCTGAGGAAGAAGCTGATGGAATGTAATCTGCATTACCTCAACTTCATTGGTGGACAGATGGGACATCAGGGGTCTTTTTAGACCTCTGATGTCTCATTAAAGTGTTACTAAACCCACAACAATAAAATCAGTCTGTATATGCAGTAAAGCATGCTTGTTTACTCATTGTGGAACCTAAGGGGTAAATCCTCTGCATTGTGTAAAAACGCTGTTTGATCCTGACTTCTCGGATCCTCCCCTTCTTCCAGTTTTCTCCTCTTATCTCCTGATAAGATATATTGTGTGGAGTCATGCTCAGTTTGGTGTGTATTGCTAGAGAGGTTTTTTTTCTTGGGAGAGTGCATGTGATCAGCACAGGGCCAATCAGCACTCTCCAGAAAGAGGTAAGGGGTTCTGCATCCTCCTAGAGCAAAATGAAAATTTATCCTACAAGCTTTAATCAGTGCTCGGTTGGACACTGATAAAAGTCACAAAACTGCTCTAGCTGCTGATGAGAAAAGGTATTTAGCAGTTTATATTTACTAAAATAATTGCATTTCCATGTTGTGTGTACTGTGGGAGAGCAGATATAGTGAATGCAGGGTCCTGGATTTAGGTACATTTTAAAGAAAAAAAAAAGAAAAAAAGTGTAAAAAGTCAAAGTTACACCCAAACACTTAAAATCCCCCTTCCAAAGAAAAAAAAAAATGAGCTCCCCACTCTTGCATACACACATATACAAAAGTAAATACATGCATAGTGAGCCCCTACACACAAAAACTGTGCACTACACATGTTATATCACCATGCACGCCAGAGCGAGAGCAATAATTCTAGGCCCAGTATTCATGGCTAATTCTAAACTGATAATCTGTAGGGACTTTTAAGCACTGCCTGTGGAAAATATAGGGTACTGAAGGTTATCGGCATTTCACACGCAAACGCAGTTTTAAGGTTTGACATGTTGGGTATCTCTTTACTTGGCACAAACACATCTTTTATATTTCGCCAAAACCTGGGTAATATGTTGCGTCCATGTGCCCTAAAACTGAATTTAATGTATATTTTACTGAAATTTTGGGTTTCACAAACCATTGATCTGAAATTGTGTAACATAAAAAAATTGGAACTACCACTACTTTATTCTCTTGGGTGCCTGCTTGTGGGAAATATATCATATTTTGGGGTTTTATGTAATCTAAAGAACTAAAATGATTTTTTTTAAACATGCATAAAAAAATTGCAAAAATGACAGTGAATGGGCTAATCTGCCATTGGAAGAATTTGGTTATATCTGATGGATCTTGCCTGAAATTCAGAGAGTCCTCTGCATTATTTGAGTTGGTTCACAAAGGAGCTGCAGAACAGGAGGTTGATCCATATTTTTAGAGCTTCCCCAACCCCCCACCTGCAAATTAACATGATGGCTGCTCAGGTATGTATTCTTGAAATGCTTTGCTTATGCAGGCCATAGATGGGTCGTTTATCAGTTGAATTTTCGTCCGATAGAATAATCGGCCGACATTCGCACCGTTAGTGGGCAATGTCGTCAGCCGATTTTTGCGGTTCCTTCTCGTTTCTTTTATCAGTCATGCTGGAAAATCTTCCAAAAAACAGCCGATTTTCGTAAGCATTGATGGCAACAGAACGACCGATTTTTCATTTTTTGGCCAACAGTTCGGCTGATAAACGACCCGTCTATGGCCTGCATAAGTGTTGAAACAAAATTGGAGTGATTAATGCTGCTTGCTACATCACCATTCTATCCAAAATAAAAATAAAGTTTTGCATTTCGATATACTTTAACAATTCACAAGGGTCCAAGTGTGATCAGTGCATCTCAAGCTGTTGGTGTAAATGGAGGAGGTCTGCATGCCATGCCCAGTGGTGGGCTGTGTAGGAATTCTTGTGGCTGGCAGATGACTTCAAGGACAGGGCCTGGTTCAGAGATCTCCATTGTAGTGTGATGCCAGTCTCCTGAGGGCACCTCTGGGAAAGGGGTGCAGGATGTTTCAAAGTGGGGATAGGGCAGATAGTGATTGTGAGCTTGAATACCCGTTTTTCAAGCCCTGAGGATTACAGGCCCCAGCATTTCATTTTTCTGCAGCTGTCCTTTTCACCTGGTCATGCAGTATATGACAAATCTGTCATTATCACGGGGAGTTGCAGTAAAAAAATGTTTGTCAACCTTGGTTTGGGATTTTATTATTATTATACAGGATTTTTATAGTGCCAACAGTTTGCTCAGCGCTTTACAATATAGCTGATGTACCCAAATCCTTCCTTGTGAGCTGCAGAGTGGACAATTTGCAAATATATGTTACTGGCAAAACTAAGACTGTGGATTCCAGAGCGAGAGGAGTGTAATCACCCCAGCAACCAATCAAAAATCAGCTTTTAGCATTTTAGAGTGACATCCTAAAGGCCTACTATGGCAAAACATACTGGAGCAGCTGTGCATGACAACCAATCAGCTTCTATCTTCTGTTTGTTCAATTAAGCTACCAAAATCAAAATTTGAAGCTGATTGGTCATCCTACACATCTGCTCCAGTTTTGATAAACTGTATTCTGGTAACTGACCATTGTTAATACTTGCAATGATAGTATGTATGAGTTCCTTTTTGTAAACTCACATGCCTTTATTTATATGTGTCCACATTTATGTGCAGACCAAGCTGTCCAGCAAAGTGACAGTTACAGAAGTTGGAAAAAAACTGTCAGAGTTACTTAAAACAGTAAGTTTTCATCCATGCAGTGTAAACCTTTCTTCTCCAAGCAGAATTAAACCCATTGATTTAACAGTTTCCAAAAAAGAATTACATTCCCAGCATGCCAGGAACTGTCACATTTGCTTGTGTTCTCAACCAAACTGTCAAACCATCAAATGGCTGGTGTCATAGCTGATCACATGTGCAGCACTATGGCAGCTGCAGATCAAACAGAGGCTACAATGGCAATTTCTTTGGCTGAAAATAGGAGGGTTTAGTTCCACTTTCAATAAAAGTATTTTGCTGTAACTGTTGTTAGCTGTCATTGGGCTGTAGCCCTGATTCACACTTGTGTAGGCTGTGCAGCCAGCATTTCTGCAGGCATGGCAGTTCATTCATTGGAAAGGGCTGCTGTGCCTGTGTTTCCTGCAAAAAAAGGGGTTTGTACTTTTTAAAAATGCAGCCACAGGGAATCTGCATGATGATTTTGACCATGCGATTTCCCTGTGGTTCTTGCACCCCCACACATGCTGCGGGCTGAGATGCAGGGGGGGGTGCCATTAAGAATTAAGTGCAATTTGGATGCGCTTGGTTGTGGGTGGGGGAATAGGTGTGATTCCTGCACCTGCAACCACCCACTCGCATGCAGGCAAGTGTGAACCTAGCCTTATTCTGTTTAATGTTTTCTTAAACTGTTGCTGCCCGTGTAACATATAAGTGCAGCTGCAAAAGTGTGGGCTTTAACGCCCACACGATGCACATATCTGACATTGGACGGGTAAAACCATTGTTACCCTGTAATGGAAGTGAAAAAGTTATGGATCTACTTTGAGGGTCAACCAGTAATGAACTTAT